CTCCTGCCGCTCGCCGCTGGGGAAGTTTCCCCCCCGGACGGAGAAAGGCGGCTACGTGTGTTTGTTTTAGGGGCTGGAGTGGCTGCCCCCTCTCACTCCCTGCTTTCTCTGCGCCTTCGCCCTAGACAATCGGGCTCTACGGAAGACGCCCCTTGGGGACGCAGAGGGCGGGGTCGTTGAACTGCCTCCAGGTTCTCAGATTCCCAAAGTCTCCCCCAACTAAAGAGCACCTGAAGTTCATTTGCAAGATAACGAATGAGACACCCACTCAGGCTTTGTTTGTTGGAAGCCGGCTAAAAAATGACCAAAGTTGTAACTTTCCGGTGTTTTACCTGCCAACAGCCTTTTCCCATCTCGCCTAATCTAATCGCAGGCTTTCTACTTTTTCTTAGTGCGTTGCAACATGATTCCTTAGGGCTTGCCTGTTCACACACTTTTCATTTGTTCCCAGCCACTTGGATCCCAGGAAGGTGATGTAAGGGGCTGTGAAGTTAGAATAAGATATGTAGAAGAGAGATGAACTCTTTTTTAAAAAATTCTATTCCCTTAGTGACCTGCCGTATTAAATTAACCCGTTAGGGCACTGAGGCCAGATGGCAAATATTTCTATACAAGAGTATGTTGTCGTAGTGTACCATAGAGTCGGAACCGAACTATTGCTAACCCTCCAGCGGGTTTTCAGAGCCAGTTAATCGCAGCTTGGGAGGATATTATGTTCATCTTTCTCCCTCGGAGCGGCTGTTGGCCTTGAACCACTTGCCTATAGGCTTGCAGCGCAGCTTCTTGCCACTAGGCCACCAGAGCTCCCTTGGATAATTGTAATTAGTTCCGTTAATCAATTGTAAATAATGTTAGAAGGCAAAATGCATGTTGTTGTTGTTATATGCCATCGAGTCGCTTGGGACTCATAACGACCCTAGGTACAAGAGCTCTAAATGCATATGGATTAATAAAACAAATATGATTTATAAAGCTTCACTAGAAAGAAAGCTAAAAAAATCTTGTAAAGGAGTATCATTTATTGGGAAAAAATAATTTCCTGCAATATAGATAAACTGAGTTGAAAAGTTTGAATTAATCATTGCTTTTAAGACAAATGCCCCTCCCTCCCCCACAAATTACCTCATCCTTCAAATTGCTATGGTTTAACCATAGGTCTTTCTAATTATAGGTGTCATATTTTAACATTTCTTGAATGGTTCTCTGTGTGCTCTATATATGGTCAAGATGACCTAGAGGACACCATTCTGGCCTTAAGCTGAAATCAAACAGTGAACCAATCGTTGTAATGGTTATTTGGCCAATTCTGTCTTGGGTGATTCTCCTGAAGATGACTGCTGAAGAGCAGCGTAATAAAGATTCCCGGAAACATTGTAAGACGTTTACCACCCGAGTTCATGCATGAAGAACTCAATTTTTTTTTCCTTTGAAAGATAATTCCGAAGAAAATCAGGAATTTATTGTTAATAAAGGTTGGTTGTGTAGTCAAAACATTGACACAAATTTAGGGTGAGTATACTTAATTTTTTTACAGCGTTCTGAAACAATTGGGGGGAAACATTTACTATACTTTGGTCCCTGAGCTAAACTTTATTTTCAACTAAGAAAGGACATTCTTTTTATGCAAGGTTGTACAAAAACTGCATTTATTTTAATGTTGATCCTGAAATAGACTATAGATAAATTCATTCTAGGCACTTGGTATTTTAAATGGGGAGCTGTATTCACCTCTTCAAATGTTTCTGACCACCATCACACACATGCACACACACACACACACACACACACAACCCCTTTCTAAGGACTTTTTAGAGGAGCAACATTAATGACTATGACTTCATATAAATTTACATTTTGAGGCTGAAACCATGAAATCAGGTTGAAAAGGCTAGGAAGGTTTTTTTTAGTCTGTCAGCTTTTAATCTTGCAGAGGCTTGCCTAGTGATGTGATGCTGGAAGCGATGCCACACATGGCTCAAATACCAGCAGGATCACTCATGGTGGACAGGTTTCAGCTGAGCTTCCAGACTAAGATAAATTAGGCAGAAAAGCCTGGTGAGTTGTTCTGAGGATTAGCCAGTGAAAATCTTTTGGATCAAAAAATGCTGTTCATTGGTTCCAGAAACATAAAAAAAAAAATGCTGTTCACTTGAATGCTGGAAGATGAGCTTCCTAGGTTTAAAGACACTCAGAATACACTGTGGTGCAACAATACGCTCAGCCTACCAATACTCTTGAAGACGCTATAAGGCTGGGCAACATTTTATTCTATTATACACTTGAGTAGGAAGCAACTCAACTACAATAAATAGGAAAATGTAATGCTATCAGAATCAATTGTAGTTTGTTGTTACGTGCTGTTGAGTTGCAGGCGACTCATAGCGACCCTATGAAGGAGAGTCCTCGACGCTTGGGTATCTCTCATCCTCTCTCCAGTTTTATAGAGTTTCCGGAGGCAAGCTATTATGGAAGTGTATGCCACTCCTCCTTCACGCTTGGGTATCTCTCATCCTCTCTCCAGTTTTACAGAGTTTCCGGAGGCAAGCTATTATGGAAGTGTATGCCACTCCTCCTTCCAAGCTTGTTTTAATCGGGGAGCTCCACCCCACTCTCTTTATCAGTATCAATAGCATGGGTTTAATTCACACACTCACACACACACACCATTAACAACTGTACTATAGTCATAGACCACACATCTGTCGCCAGCTGTCTCCTTTCAAAATGACAAGCATGTTCATGGTGCTCAGGAACAGATGATTCGGTGCACACCCATCACCACGACCATTAAGTCAGTTTTAAGATTGTCCACTGTCACTGGTCTTTGACCTCATTTTTATGTTGGAAGAACAGAGCAGAGCTACATTTTTAAATTATCTGAAAGAATTGGGTTCCATTTTTAAGTCAATGTTTCCATGAACAATTGAGTAAACTGGTACTTGAAACTGAGATATGTATTCACTGAAAGTAGCCAATTGCTCCTTTTTTTCTCTGAAAGGTCATTACTAAGTTTGTTCTAAGAGGTGGAGAGGGAATCTTAAAATATAAAAAAGAGTTATACCAATACAGAGAGAACATTCTTAGTCTAGAAAATATTGAAACAGAAAGGAAAAATGTCGATCTAAATTTTTTTTTAAATGTTTATAGCTACCATCACTACAGGTCAGGATTTTTCAACCACATCATATCTGATATTTTGTGTTATAAATTCTTTGTTGTAAGTTTGTAGTTGTATGTCTGGGAATTTTATAGTCTTTGTCACTAGCCTCTATGCACAAAATTCCACTATCAGCTCTACCATCACCACCAGTAATGACAATGAAAAGATCTTCAAATTGTGGAAAATGTCTCCCAGAGCAGGGAGAATTGTGGACCACTGTTTCTTGTAAATTGTCATTTTATAAGCATAGTATTGATTATTTGCTATACAAAGACCCTCTATGAGGTCATTTACTCATAAAATGTTAGAATATCTAAGAAAGGATGTAGAGTATGGAGGCCTAAGTATTAGCAAAAGGCAGTTATTGTTGTGTAAAGTCAGAATCAACCCATAGCTGACCCTCTGAAGAGAGGAGGATGTCCATTTTTTACCCACGGAGCAACTGGTGACCTTGAACATCTTGGCGTTGGGATCACAGTGCAGCTTCTTGCCTCTAGGCCACCAGAGCTCCCAAAGGAAAGTACTAAATGCAAACCATACCTACAAAATATCTATTAATGTCTAATGTCAAACTTGTTAAACTCTTCAAATATTGATTTCTTCATCGACAACAATAACATAATAAAAACTTTATATTGTTTTAGCAGGTTTAGAAGAAGTCATTGCACTAGAGACATTATTGCCACTGTCAGGTGGATCTTGGCCGAAAGCAAAGAGTACCAGGGAAATGTCTATCTGTGTTTCATTGACTTTGCAAAGACATTTGACTGTGTGGATTACAACAAATTGTGGCTAATATTGAGGAGAATGGGAATCCCAGAACACTTAATTGTGTGCAAACAAAACCTATACTCAGACCAGGAAGAAGTCCTTGGAACAGAGCAAGGAAACACTGCATGGTTCAAAATCAAGAAAGGAGTGCATTACAACTGCACCCTGTCTGCATACTTTTTCAATCTATATGGAGAACAGAACATTCAAGAGGCTGGACATTTTGAGGAGGCGTGTGGCATCAGAATCAGAGGAAGATTCATCAACAACATGCATTATGCCGATGGCACAACTTCGCTTGCTGAAACTGAGGAGGACCTGAAGTTTTTGGTGCAGAAGGTCAAGGACTGCAGTTTTCAATATGGATTGAACATTAAAAAGACAAAGATTTCCATCCCTGGGCCAATTGGCAGTACGATGATAGATGGAGAAGAGATTGAGGTTGTTAACAGTTACATCTTACTTGGCTCCACAGTCAACATTCTTGGCACCAGCAATCAGGAAATAAAAAGGTGAAATGCACTGGGGAAGTCTGCTGTCAGGTACCTCTCCAGAGTACTGAGAAGCAACAATGTCAGGCTAGGACTAAGGTGCATCTGATCCAGGCCATGCTCTTTGCAATTAATTTCTATGCATCAAAGAGCCTAACAAGGACTAAGGATGACAGAAGAATTGATGCCTTTGAGTTGTGGTGCTGGAGAACAGTCTTGAACATACCATGGACCACCAAGGGGGGAAAAAATAGATCTGTCTTGGAGAGGGTGAAACCAACTTTTTCCTTGGAGGACAGGATTTTGAAGATCCATCTCACATACTTTGGGCTTGTGGCCTTGGAGAATGACATCATATTCAAGAGGGTGGAG